CTGATACGGTCACAAGGAAGTGAAAAAGGTATTCCCTGTTCCTGGATTGCTAGCAATAATGTTGTCCAATTGGCCATACCACAAGAACATAGATATGAATTTTAATGCAGTCTCAAGATGCCAGCAGCATTCCTCACAGTACTAAGAAAAATAACCCTAAAATTCATGTGGAACCAGAAGAGACCTAGAATAGCAAAAGCAATCTGGGCAATAATAGGAAAGCAAGAGACAACATAATCCTGGGTTTCAAGTTACATTACCAAGCTACAGTGATAAAAGCAGTGTGGTATTGGCACAAAAACAGCCACGGGGATCAGTGGAACAGAATAGGGGGGTGTAGAAAGAGGATGACAAAGAGGCCGAAACACACACAGGAGGAAAGATAACCTTTTTAATACATGATGCTGGGAAAGCGGGCTGTCTGTGTGCTGAAGGTTGAACTTAGATCCATATCTCTCACTGTGTTTGTACTAAAGTAAAATAAAAATGAATCAAAGATGTGTTAGAAATTTTTAATTTGCTGAAATCGGGAAAACTTTTGAAGAACTAGGCATTGCCAAGGACTTTGTGAACAAAACTCCATTTGCACAAGAAAAATGTCAGAAATCAGCAAATGAGATCATATCACGTTAACCCTCTGTGTAGCACAGGAAACAACAACAGAGTGAAGAGACACAGAAAGACCAAAATTTTTTTTCTTGCTACTTCTCAGGAAACTAGTATCTAGAGTATATAAATAACTAAAAACAGACCACTTAAATATTCAATTGAGAAATGATCAACTGAAATGAATAGATACTTTTCAGAAGTACAAATGGCCAGTAAATACAAGAAATAATATTCAGCATCTCTGTTAGAGATTCCATCTTACTCCAGAAAAAATGACTGTCATGAAGAAATCAAAGATAAGAAATGCTGGCAAGGCTATGGGAGAAAAGGAACCCTTCTACATTATTGGTAGGAATGAAAACTAGTACAACTGTTCTGGAAATCATGTTTTACTACTGTGTTTCTATTTTTAAAAAAACTAAAAATAGAAATTTGCTTTGACACAGCTATTCCCATCCTAGGTATCTTCCTGAAAGAATTAGAGACATCATATTACAGGGATCCATGCATACCCATAGCAGTAGGACTCATAATCGCTCAACCTTGGAAGTCATCTGTATGTGCATCAAATAAATTAATAGATAAAGAAAATATGGTTTTATGCACAGTGGAGTACTACTCAGCCATAAAAAGGATTAATTTGAGTTATTTATAAGAAAATGGATACAGTGTTAAGTGAAATAAATCAGACATACAAGCTTAAATATCCCGTGGGTTCTCTTATAAGAGAAATGCAAAGTATAAATAATTTAGAGTAAAATACAAGACAATAGGAAACAGGGAGAAGGGTCTTTTGCAAATGGGCAGGGGACCAACAGATGTAAAGGAGTGGGGAGGAAAAGGAGAAGTAAACAGAACTGAGAAATGTTATATATATGTACCAACTCCCCATGATGATGTAATCATCATGTGCTGTAAATATTTACTGATAAAAAACTTTTAAGTTTTTTATAAAACCAAATCTGTCTTTATTATTAAATTTATCAAATAAGCTTCTTAATTAGTACATTTGTGTAATTGAAAAGAAGAGAAGAATATTCTCTGACTTGTTAATACATAAGATTGACCCTATTTCTCATTACTGCACATCTGTGGTGACACGAGAATATTAATTCATCAAAATTAGGAAAAATAAATCTTATTGTCAGGACTCCAGATGATCTTTGCTTGTGTTTAAAAATTTAGATTCTTCTTCTTCTTTTGCTTCATGAGTTTGACAGTTGGTGAGGCAGTCGGCTTTCATTGTACCTTCTGTTCAAATTGTACCTAATTTCAGAGAAATTGTTTTTATTTTAAATGTCAGGATGCTGACAGATAACTGTTATTTTGTCATTTCTGGCATAGACACCTGAAACTAAGTTGGATAGTTCATTTCTCAGTCGTCAAGAATCTAAGTTCCTCCAGTAATTTAAATTCTTGTTGTATCCAGTTCAAAAGACAATTGTCTCCTTCTCATCTTCTGAAGCTTCGATTCTTTGTAGAGTATGCAGTTGGCATGTATTGCAGAGAAAAGTAAGGAAGAAGAAACGCTACTGGAATCATCACTGAACAGGATGTAAGGAGTCTCGGGCATAGCCTGAAAGCCGGTGTGTGTTCCCCAGCGGTGCCTCAGCGCAGGTGGGGTGTCACACAGTGGGCCGTAACACTCATCCCTGACTGTGGCCATCCACTCAGATGGAGAGGGAGCAGTATGAATAAACCTCAAAGACCAGTGAGAGAAGGCTGTCCCAGGCTACTGCCATCCCTGAGGCCAGCTGGTTATTGATTGAAGTGTCCCTGGGGTTGCCCATGTGGCCTCTTTTTCTGGACTCTCCCAAGGACTGATGTAAGAGCCTGCCAGACTGCAGTCACAGTGAGGCTGTCTTTCCTCTTGAGACTGTCAGGTGGTTGTCTGTCCTTTTACTTGACATGTTCAAACAGGGATTTCTTTCTTTTTTTCAAGCTAAGAGCGGTCTTTTGTTTGACAGTTCTTCTGATCTAATATAATTGTGAGACTTTCCTATACTCATTCTCCTTTATTTTATATTGTGTAGAAAAGAGTAATGTTTGCTGTTTCCCACAGAATATTTATGTTCTTTGAGACTATTAAAACTCCATACTGTCTTTTATTCATCAAGCTAAAAAACATCAGTTAGCATTTTGAGTATCTAACCCATCATTTGTTTCTCTTTTCTCTGTCCTTATATAATAATAGATTCTGTGCTTTAATTGGCTGTGTCAGTTTTCTGTCTTTTTGGTAAGTGTGTTTAAGATGACCACTTACTTTCATTGAGTCACCTCTAATTTGAGAATATAGTGGTCTTGGTGAAGGAGTAGAATTAACTAGTAATTTTTCCTGTTCCTAGTAAAGTTTTATTATATTCAGACCGGTGTTTGTCATGCCAATTATCAGTGAATGTTCAGACCTTTTGGATGCACTTGCTTCTACCACTTTACAAAGGGATTTCTTCTGAAAGCTTTTTCTTAGGTATTGCCTTACTTTTTTTTTTTTTGGTCTTTTTTGTTTTTATCGGTACCAGGGATTGAACTCACGACTGCCTGCTTGTAAGGCAGGCACTTATGCCACTGAGCTAAATCTCCCAGCCCCTGTTCCTTACTTTTAAAAGCTTAAATACCATTGAAGAGTCAGTAATTGATTTTTGACAACTAGGGCCATGCATGGATCATCCTTATTTTCCAAAGCACTACATACTGTGTATGTATGTTGTGTAGAATAGATGCACAATAAATGTATGTTGGGCAGACGCAAAAGTGAATAGTGTTATAGCACTTCTGTGTATCCATGTACCATAGCAACATTCTGTTCCTTTATTTAGTAACTTTCTTGCTTTTTCCTAATTCTTAATTGCTACCCCAGAGTTTCTCAGACTGTGTCACTCATTTAAAATGTGTTGTAGAACTGGAAAAGCTTAGGCAGAAAGCTTTATTACTTTCCCATCTGTCCCTGATTTGGGGTTTAACTGCCAAATTAAAATGAAGAATTGGTAGACCATCTCCTGGTAGGTAAAGAAGCTTTGAGAAAGAAGCTTTGTTTGTTTTTGAGACAGGGTCTTACTGTGCAATTTAGACTGGTCTCATACTTGTGGCAATCCTCTAGCCTCAGCCTTCTGAGTACTGGGACTACAGGCGAGTCTTTTGTTTTTCTAATAGGTAGCTCTTGAGTTCTTTATGAGACAAAGAACTAAAAGACTAGTCTGGTAAATGAATGACCATAACTAAAAGACTAGTCTGGTAAGTGTATTAAGCATGTTAAGATCTGTGTTTGTTGCTTTCCTAAAATAAACATATATGAAAGATACAGTATTCATGAACATAATTTTGTGTAAAGCTTAAATTTTGGTTTAGAACATGATTTTAAGAAAGCCCTAGGAGATGAAGGGTTATTTTTCGTGTAGCACAGTGGTGGGGGCAGAACTAGAGTTCTACCTTTTGCCCCAGGAAGTCTTGATCTGTAGCTCAGCGTGTTTTCATAGGGACCCTCTGTCATTTGAGGCTGTAGTTGCTCTTGGGGGCTGTGGTCCTGCACTTTACAGCCATTGTGGCAGCTTTACCTTTACTATGTGGTCCTCTTGTGGCAGTTGGACAAGCAAAGACACATTGCCAAATTTGAGATGCCCAGGGGATGAACTACAGGCATGGGTGGCACCAGCCCTCCGTAGTACCACTACTGCTGGTAGCTGAAACCACTTGGAATTACTCAGTTAAATATATTCAGTGTTGGTGGTAGATTTTTGATTTTAAAAAATATGTTGTTGGAGCCAGGGATTTAGCTCAGTGGCACAAGTGCCTGTCTGGCAGGCATGAAGTCGTGAGTTTGATCCCTGGTATGAAAAGAAAGAAAGAGAGACAGAGACAGAGACAGAGACAGAGAGAGAGATAGAGAGAGAGAGAGAGAGAGAGAGAGAGAGAGAGAGAAGTATATATATTGCTATTTTAAAATGTAATTAAATTCAGGCTGGGGATTGAGCTCAGCAGCATAAGCACCTGCCTTGCAAGCACGCAATCGTGAGTTCAATCCCCAGTTCCAAAAAAAAAAAAAAGTAATTAAATTCCTAGGTAATGAATAAATGGTTTGTAAATTAGACATGATTGTATGGTGGACAAAGCCTAAGCTTTATCAATAACTAACATATTGGTATTTTAATAAGAAAAACTTGTCATTTGTTGATAATTTATCTTATTTTATCAGAAAAATAGTAAACTTCTGAGCACACATATATACATATGTAAATGCAGGTTTATCAAACCCAGGGAAGAAAGGATGCAGGTTCTGGTTTATCATGAAACAAGTCAAGTGTCCTTTGCAGGCCGCTTCCCTTCTTTCATGGATAGACTTTCCGCCCAGTGGGTGCCAGGACACCTGATACTAACGGTTCATGTTTTGTTTTCAGGATCAGTTCAGCGATATGAGAATCAGCATAAACCAGACGCCTGGGAACAGTCTTGACTTTGGGTTTACAATAAAATGGGATTATTCCGGGATCTTCGTAGCATCAGTTGAAGCAGGTAAAATGGACTTAACCCAACTGAACTATCATGTGTGTTATCCTGTGATTCTGGGGGAAAAATACAAACATTTGTCTGTTTGGTGTAGAAAGAGAAAATGTATGAAAAATGGTGAAGGGGAGTTGCACCCTCTTCACCAACACTATTAAGTGGAGGTTACAAATTACATATTTTTTATTCCTTGCCTGTTGAATTTTAGTTTTGATGATTCTTAATTTTGTGACTTAGGAGTTTATCGAAATTTTAAACTGAACTTTTGCAAATACTAACAAAGAGTGTTTAGTGAGAGATTCAGAATGAGATTTCCATGATCATATGTGTTTTGTGGTAGATACAGATGTACTGTACAATAAATCAACATCGTAGGGTTTTTTGTTTTTATTGATAGTGCTAGGGATTGAACCCAGTGCCTCAATATGCATGCAAGTGCTCTGCCACTGAGCTAAATCTTCAGCCTAACATTTTTCAGCATCCTAATATAGCTTTTGCTCGTGGGTCTTCTGGATGCTTTTAACACTTTTGTAAAAGGTTTCGGCTAGGGGTTTAGCTCTGTGGCAGAAGCACCTGCTTGGCAAGTACGAGGTCCTGAGTTTGATCCTGGAACCAAACCAAACCAAAACAAACCAAAACAAAACAAAACCAAAAAAGGTTTACCTTACGGTCCAAGCCAAGCCCCAAAACTGCACATCGCTAGAAGATCTAAAATTAAAATGAGAGATATTGTGCTTAAGATAAATTTGTTGTTTACATATTTTTGCTATAGAAAATTTGAATTTTAATATGTTATTTCTTTTTAAGTTTCTTGATTGCTTCCATAAATAGTAGTATTTTTGTTATGGGGCTAATAATCTGCGACTTTAAAAGGTCATGTTTCCTTCTGCCTTCCAGAGTGCATCTGATTTGCTCAGTTAAAGTATAATATATTGTATTTCACATTTTTAGTTAAAAAATAATTAAGAATTTTTTTGTCCTTAGGAGGTTAATGAATTTTATTGAATAGTTGAGATTGTCTTTCTTTCAATAATGATGAATGTACTATGAATAAAAAAAAAAAACTTTTGTCACCTTGTAAGTTGTAGGTACTCAATTTATAATTAAAAAGTGACTATCTGAAAACAATCAGAAATAATAAGATTAAAAAATCATCTTTAAAAAGATAAAAGTGACTGACTAGTAGAATATGTGTTTATTTTTCATTTTATTGTTTCCTTTTTTTTTTGGTACTGGGCATCAAACTCATGATCTCATGCTTGCCAGGCAGGCACTTAGCCACTGAGCTAAGTCCCTGGCCCTTTCATTTGATTTTTTAATTTGCTTTATGTTATTTAGGTGGCACAGCAGAATTTTCTCAGCTACAGGTAGATGATGAAATTATTGCTGTTAACAACAAGAAGTTTTCATACAAGGAAACAAAAGAGTGGGAGGAAACTATGGCTAGTGCTCGAGAAAGTGGAAACCTAGTGCTGGATGTCAGGCGTTATGGGAAGGCTGGTGAGTTTCACCACTTTGTCCAACCTCCTCAATGGGGACAGGTGATTGGCAGGTGATTGTAAGTTTGCTTTAATAACTTTTTACTTTTTCATATTTTTGTTGATTTAAAAGTGTTTCATCATGATGTTTGGAAAATCTTGAATTATATTTTTTTGAAGAATCTGAAAAGTCTTCACTAGCAGATTTACTGAATTCTATATTATTTGAATAAGTAATGCACTCATCTGGCTGAATGCAAGTACATAGGCAAATACATCTGCATTGAGAGTCATTTATAATGATGTCAATTTTTATAATAATGTTGACTACTAAGGACTACCTTCTATTTTACCTTCTCTGCAGTATCCTAACTGTACTGGTATAAGAGAGCATGGTGGGTCTTAGTCTATTGTTTGTTCTCAGATAACTTTCAGTATGCATTTTCCATTATTGCATTGCTCAGTTCCAGGCTGAGATCACATAGGGAAGTGCATTAAGCAGCCCCACACCTACCAATATATGATATCAAAATACAGTATCTATTATAGAGTCAGCAAATTTGCTAGTCTCTTCATTGCTAAGATGATTTAACTTTTGTATTTTGGAAAGGTGGCCTGTTGGTAAAAGCCCCTAAACTATTCATTTTTTTCACATCCTACCTGATTGACTGGTATGTGTGCATTTTGTTTTATGTGCAATCAGTAATTTTATTCTTTCCACTTCACCGTTTATGTGTATTTATTACTTGATCTTCATGTGCCAATCAGACTGGGGCAAAGACCAGCCTTTCCTACCATTTATACGGCATAAAACCCTCAATCTCACCAGTGTGGCTACCAAAATTATAGGTTCACCTGAAACAAAGTGGATTGATACAACTTCTGGAATTTATAATTCAGACAAGTCTTCAAATCTGTCAGTGACAACTGATTTCTCCGAAAGTCTTCAGAATCCTGTAAGTATTTGAGAAATAGGATTAGTTGTATAGAGCAGCTACAAGAACTGTATGCAGGAAAGAGTATTTTATTTGAACAATTGTTATACTATTTTAAAAACATAAATAGTTGAAAAAGATAGCACATAGTAAAGAGAGTATAACATACCTTTGAAAACTCTTAAGTTATTTCTGACTATTAGGGCATTTTAGTGAGTTATATAATGGTAAAATCAAAAGATTCCATTGTATTGTTTTCCAGTAATTCCTTACCAATCTTTTATCATTACAACCATCTCTCAGATCTTTGTCAATGAATAGAAACTATGTAAAATTATACATGATGACATGATTATGCATTCTTTTGTCTTTACGGGGCCAGTAAATGCAATCATTGGGTATAATATAAAATACCATGAAGCATTTTCAGTTTTTGTGTGTGTGTTTGATAGGTAGAATTACATGTCTAAGGCAATCAGTTTCATTAATCAGTTCAAAAATTATAATGTAGAAATTTTTATGTGTCAAAGCAATATTTTTTCATATAGTCTCTGAAAAAAATGTGGTTTCTATTTATTATTTAAATTGTTCAAACAATTTGCTTGTACTAGAGGCAGACTTCTCCTACTGTAATATCTTTGGTATGCCATGGTGAAAGAGATGAATTTTGTTCCAAACACAATTTTAGAATAAAAATGTGAAAATATTGTTCATTAAGTTCATAGTTTAAACTATAATTAAACTTTTTATTTAAGAAACAGATCTTGCTACATTGTGTAGAAATGGTTTAAATGTTAGAGAAAGTTCTCTGACTATTTTGCCTACTCATAAATGTAAGCCAAATAAACTGTTGACTATTTTTGTCAATTGTATTTCTTAAAATATTAATGACTGACTAACCTGAAGGCTATCCTTGCCTGCAGCTAGTCATTGTAAATATTCTATAAATATTGGAAAATAATGAAAAAAATGTAAGGTTCTACTGCATGTAAAAAGCTATAAGGAATGGATCAATACCTTGAAACACCTATCTTGTTAAGAGATATTTTCACTAATGAGAAATACATTATTTAATCTCAAAGTCTAACTGGAGAGAATATTAATTTGCATTTTTATCCTTTCTAGTATACTGAATCTAAAGAAATCAATGGAATTCATGATGAAAGCAACGATTTTGAATCAAAAGGTAGCTATCACCATTATAACAACATTTATAAAATAAGGGAAATTGAAGCTCTCAAGTTCTTCTGTTGTAAAAATTAGTATCTGTGAGTGAAAGAAAAACTGATCTGCTGCAAGTTGAAACTAAAAGGTTAGAACATAGATCCAGTTTCAGTCAGGTGGAAGGGCACTCAGTTCCAGCACTGAATAGTTTAGGAACTGCAAACAAAACTTGGTCGCCTGTTTGCCTAAGCCAAGTAAAAAGAGCAGGTTCCCTGAGGTCAGCAGCTTTCTGGCAATGGTGTGCTGGCAGAGGGAATCTTTGTTACATGCAAAATGATGAATGTAGTATTCCTTCCCCTTTATTGTTATGAAAGAGACAAGTATGTAGATTCTTTTCTTAGTACTAATGTTAATTTAGGGCCTTTACACTGAGCTATATATTTCCAGTCCTTTTTAAATTTTTGATTTTGACACAGTCTGCGTCATGAAGTTGCCCAGGCTGGGCTCCAACTTGTGATCCTCCTGTCACAGCCTCCTAGGATGCTGGGGTTACAGGTGTGCACCACCATGTCTCCTGGTAGTTAACCTAAATAGAGAAATACCAGAGGCAGTAACAGCTGTCAGTGGTTGTACTCCTTGGCAGTGAGAAAAGAAAGCCAATTTCTAGGGAAATGCTGGGGTTATCATTCTCTTCCTGTTCCTGCCCATCTATTAATAATTAATCTACTGCACATTGTGTGCTATTCTTTGGGTATACAAAATGAGAAAGTGCTGTCTGGTTCCACATAGGCAGGGAGAGACTCAGAGAAAATGAAACTTCTTTTACTGTAAGATGAGGCTACCAGGATTAGGGCTGGGCTTCCACAATGCTTTGGAGACTCTCTCAGTTCATTATGTGTCATTGCTAAGCCAACCTAAGTTTTTAAGTTTCCCTTTCCTCGTTATTGGTCTTTGTATGTTATTTTCAGTGGCTAACAGTGACTGAATTGTTACTATCATTTTTTTAATCAAAGGAGTTTTCCAGTCAAGCCTTGGCTGTTTTCCTCATGTTGGTAACTGTGAGGCATCTGGGTTCAGTTCTGCCAGTGGCAGTGCCAACTGATAGGCCCTCTAACTCTTTAGTGACAATGGAGCCCCATCCTTTGAAGATGTTGTTTACATAAGTAAATATCCACCAGTGTCAAGTAATGTTTGCATTCACATTTTATGCCATAGTTTTATGCCAGATCTGTGGGAAAAGTCAGAATGCTGCTTTTTATTTCCGATTGAACTCCATTTTAAATTAGTAACAACTTCAAAATCTTGGAAACTAGGTAAAAATATTTTAGTTTAAAAAAGTTTAATTTTACCATTTAAGAATAATTTATTTTGTAGTCATCCTTGTCCCTGATACTCGTTAGTTTTTGTCCATCAATACTGTGAATACTCTTTGGTAGAGATGATAAATTAACCTAAGCAAAAAGTGTTGATTTTCATTTGCCCAGCATGGATTGTATGGCTTTCATAGCTGTGACAGTATAATGCTGCCTACTAAAATTTGTTAATAAAAATATCCATTACTTTTACTAATTTGAAGTAATATAAACTAAAATATGTATGTCTATATGCCTTGAAATAATCCATACGCCTATGGCTGTCGGTTTTGTCATTTTAAAAATAATATTGCTACAGATTGCAAAGGGATATCAAGTATCTTTTGATTTACCAGTGGTAAGAATTATGATGAATGACATGTATTTATTATTTGTTTTATTTTCAACTAGCATCTGAACCCATTTCTTTGAAAAACTTAAAAAGGCGATCACAATTTTTTGAACAAGGTAAACCACAAACTAACCATTCATTCATGTTCATGAACTCCTCCTCAACTCTTCACCCTTCTTGTGGTCTGTGGTTCTGGCACTGAGCCTTTTCAATTTGACTGTCATTGTGACCAAACGACATAACCCATTTCCATTCTTTTCCTAGGGTCATCAGGCTTTTTTTACAGTTCATGGGTCTACCTCTGTGGTAATGGGTCTTTGTGTGTCCTTTGCATAGCTCTAAACGGTTTTTTTATTTTAAGTTTGTAAAAAAACCTGACATACTGTTAAACACACATCTTTCCACTGGATAACAGTAAGAAATGAAAAATGTCATTTAAGCCTTACTGCTTCCTACAAATTGCATAATATCAGATTATACCAGCAGACAATTGGCCAACTTGAAAAGTAACTTGTTTTTGGTTGTGGAAAAAGCTATTAGTAAAGAACAGAGCTGTTTGCTGTTGGGATGGTGCCTTCAGACTGCTCTGTTGACTGTGAGGTAAATTCAAAGTTAATAGATTTTGGTTGCATCTGAACACAGGCACATTTTGCATTTCTCTGTTTGGTGTAGTCGGGAAGGGCTGCCTCACTGTGTGCTGCATGCGGCATTTCCTCCCTTTCACGTCTGTCTAAGGCTCTGTCTCATGGATGCAGTTCAAACTCAGTTTTGCTATGAAATACTTAAAAGTAATGTCCAACATTTGAGAGGCAGTGATCAGAAGAGATTGTGCTGATGATGTCTAAAATGTTGTTTCTTACTTTTAAGGCTATTAAAACATTTAAACAATGCTGTTATAACATGATACTTACTGGGTTTGTGTATTTTGTGTTAGCCACCTAGTCTTTGGGAGAGTAAGGCCTCTTTCGGACCATGAGCAGAAATAGCTTTCCAGCTATGCATGACTATTTGTGTCAGTATCCTTTATGTTTTTCATTTGTATTTTTTATTACACTCCTACTTTTCTATAACTATGTAATTTAAAATTTCTAACTCAAATGGGTTAAAATGGGTTTCTTTCTCTATTCTGATTTTCTTTTGCTTTTCATCAACAAGCTATTTTAGGAAAGAACGTTTTTGTAAGTCTTAAAGCAATTTTTCTTAAAAAGTTGTGTAAGTGAATAATTTGATAGCTGAGGTTTCAGGAAAACTTTTAAAATAGTGTATAAAATTTTGTATTTTGTGTAATTTTACCTTTTGTAGTCATTATACTATCTCTGTGTTAACACATGCATACGTGCAAATATGCACCTATTATGTAGACACTTAGGGATAAAAAGAATAAGATGTGGTTGCAAGTGTCCACATGAAAGCGTGAATGCATATGTTTCAAATCATAGGAGAGGAAAGGAATAGAATTCTTGAGCTTGTTTGTTTCAGTGAGACATTTGTGAAAAATAGCTCTTTAGTAAGAGGATCTGAAAAATGTGACTTACAGCTATAATGTTGTAATTGAATAGTTCCAAGTGAAAAATTTAATTAGACATAATATTTGAAGATCTTTTTTTCTCTATTGAGACAAACTACAAGGTGGGGCCTAGTTCAGTAACAAAATCTTGAAACTTATCTGGAGCTGGTTGTACCTTTGGCACTTTGTGCCACCTTGATACTTGTACTGAATTTTGAAGATGACTAACAAATGGGATTAATAAGAGGAAAAAGACTTAATGATTGCTGTTTTTAAACAAAAAATATTTTACTCAGTACACTGGCAGCGACAGTGATACAGTTTTGTGAAATGGATTATTGCATAGAAATGTGAAGCCTTACATTGTTTTTTCTCCCTTCCTTTGCTTATGTGCTGCCATGCAGGAAGCTCTGATTCTGTGGTTCCTGATGTAAGTAGTATTTGTTTGTAGTTGGGAATAAATAAGGTGAGCTTGGTGGGGCCACATTAGTATACCATGAGTATTACTTAAATTTTAAGGATTTATCAGGTAGTAATCCTTCTAATTTCAAAAGACTTACTTGTAAATGTAAAAGTCAGATCTTCTCTGGTATAGGTTAAGCACTGTATGACATGAAAAATTGATATATATGAAAGTGGTTCTATATATAATTTTAAAAAGTTGTGTACTGTGTTTGCACTTCAGCTTCCAGTTCCAACCCTCAGCACCCCGAGCCGCTGGGCATGGGATCAAGAGGAGGAGCGCAGACGGCAGGAGAGGTGGCAGAAGGAGCAAGACCGCCTGCTGCAGGTAGCACTGGAGGGTGTGGGTGTGCGTGAGTAGGCCTGAGCCTTGGCTTTCACGGCTTTGCTGAGAAGCCAGTTTTAAAAAGCAGCCTCATCGCTAACAGATACCTTTGTGCGCATGTTTTATATTGAACCATGAACTTCTCATTTTGAAGATTTTCAGAATCATTCTTAGCCCTGTATTATCATGGATTAGCCCTGATGAAAAGCAGTCTGTGAAGGGTGCATTTAGGATAAAGAGATGCACAGACTCTGTAGCTCCATAGCTCAGTTGTGGAGTAATTCAGCTCCATCACTTACCGTTAGCTGGAGGCGTTAAAGAATTATATCTCAGCCAAGAGTGGTGCTGGGTCTGATTACATGAGTCTGACTTTTCCTAATGTGTGCATTTTAGTTCAATACAAGCTCTTTTTCTATTGTAGGGAATAAAATCTGTTTAGTTAGGTGAAAGTCTTCAAAAGTTGGAGTGAAGGTTTAGGTTACAGTAGTGTTAATGAAAAAGATTCTGCTTTACCTGAAGAGTTAATGTTGATTAATATGCCATATTTTTTAATAGGAAAAGTACCAGCGTGAGCAGGAGAAACTGAGAGAAGAGTGGCAAAGGGCTAAGCAGGAGGCCGAGAGAGAGAATTCCAAGTACTTGGATGAGGTGACACAGGCCTTTATAGTTTACTTCCTTCTCTTCTCCTTGTTGATAAAAGCTGAGATGCAAGAAACTCCCTTCTCTCTGATTTTGGCCTCATGTGCACATCTGTCTCTTTTTGAGAAAATGTACTGAGTTCTGACCTCTTAGAATTTTGCTTCGATAGTCAACGTTTCTTCTAGGTTTTCTGTTGTATTATGTAATTTCATTAGTGCTTTTCTCTCTTTTAGCTTACATCTCGGTCACTTGTGGTCTTTTTAGGCATAAATTTTAATAGAAATTATAGGCTACTACAATTAATATCTAAAATGAATCTATTTGTATATGAAATTAAAGAAGACAGTGAATTTCTTTTTTTTTTTTTTTTCCTCTCCAATGTTCATTTAGGAACTGATGGTCCTAAACTCAAATAGCATCTCTCTGACCTCACGGCAGCCTGCTGTTGCCTCTTGGGAAGCCACATGGAGTGAAGGGTCCAAGTCTTCCGACAGGGAAGGGACTCAAGCGGGCGAGGAAGAGAAAAGGAAGCAGGATTCAGGGGCTCTTGATGGGGACCAAAGCCCAGAGCTACAGGAGCAGCTCATTCTTGAGAAGGAACAGAAACTGAGGGAGCCGCAGTCCTTGAAAGAGCAGGAGGAGAGGCGGTGTGAGGCTGAGGCTGAAGCACAGAAGCTCCGGGCTGAAGAGCCGAAGTGCCACACAGAGATAGAGAGAGAAACTTCAGTCAAAATATACCAGTACAGGAGGTGTGTGTCCCAGAGCCCGGCACTGAGGGGTGGCAGTAGGCCCAGGCTTCAGTGCGTTGTGCCTCACTGTCAAGGCATCACACTGGTCCTGTGTCCCTTCCGTCGTTCCTGTACATGGGGAGTGCAGGCAGTGCAGAGGAACCTTTACATCACAGAACCAGTCCTGGTACCTTAATGCCCTGATCAGCCTCTGGACGGCTTCTTGCCATCTTACAATAGCTTGCAAAGCTGTTGTTGCCACTGTGTCTTAACCCTTTGGGTTCTTTTCAGTGCTTATCACTCTTCTCCTGATTCACATGTTCCAGCCATACTGGCCTGCTTATTTTTCTGTGAAATATTTAATACAGTATATAATCTGCTCCTTGACTTTTGCATTTTTTTTTCTTGTTTTTTTCATCCTGAAAAAAAATTTTCCTTTTGCAAGAAGTAAAAGGCATATTCATTTTATTCAAATCTGTGCTCATATATCATCCTGTGAGACTTTCTAGATTACCCTATTTAAAATGCGTGCCTCTTCCCCACCCTTTCTGTTGCTATGCCCTAACTCTGCCATATATTACTTTTATGTGTTTTTCTATCAGCCTGCCTGCCCTAGTAAAATGTAAGTGCTATGAGGTCAGCAGATGACCTTACTTCTGTAACATAGTTGGGGGCCAATGCTGGACTGTACTGCATGCGCAGTATAAACTCGTGCATATCAGAGTAACAAATGTCTGTTGGCAGTAGGAGGTCTGTTTTCTACAGTATTGATTGAAATACTTCAGTATATTTACTTTTTTAACCTACAGTGCATAAAGAAATAAAAACAACCTTATGCTGGTACCCTTTTCTTAATCAGGGGAGATTTTAAAGTTTAACATTTGACTATAAATTTCCCCCCACATTTTAGGCCTGTTGATTCCTATGATATACCAAAGAGAGAGGAAGAAGGATCTTCAGGTTTGCTTCCTAATGACAGGTGTGTAGAGTATTTCCTTTTACTTGGTTGATAGTAATAAACTTTAGGTGATTGTTTCCAGGCCTTTCTTGATGACCTAAGGAGGTTCTTTAGCCTTTTATCTTTTGTGGGATACATGGAGAACCTGCTAGTTGATCATTCTTTTAGTCAGCTTTTGCTGACTAACAGTAACCTCTAAACTTAGTGACTCAGCTCATGATTTTGTTGATCAGCTTTCTGAGTTGAGCTTGCTTGGTGGTTCTTTTATTTAGTTGAATGAGTTGACACACACCTGCTAACTAGACATTTAACTAGGCATCTGCTTCTGAGGACTAGCTGGTTAGCAGTGGGGACAAGGAGAGAAACTAAAGTGGGTTATGGGTCTTTTGGCATTTGGCAAGCAAGGGCTCTATACATGATTCCTACCCAACATCATGTATGGATGGGTAGGAAAGGAAGTTAAAAGAGACAGAGCTGGGGAGACACTTGAGGTCTAAATTATTGTCCAAAGTGAAGCTACAAGACCAAGTGAAGTTCACAGAGAAGACAAAATTCTATCTCCTTATGGGAAAAGAGACATAGCGAGAAAAATGGGCAAAGCTGTTGCATGTAACACATCATGAGCAGTTGTTGAATATTATTTAAAAAGTTATGAGAGGGACTGGGGATTTAGCTCAGTGGCATAAGCGCCTGCCTTGCAAGCAGGCAGTCATGAGTTCGATCCCTGGTACCAATTAAAAAAAAAAAAGTAATGAGAAAATGTCTGAAATGAGAGCTGTGAACTTTCTTTTACTCTTAGATAGTTTTAATTGGAACCACTGGTCAGTTTTGGGGAATGATAATAGGATTTCATATATCAAAATGATCGTATGTGTTTTAGAATTTCCTAAAGAATTAACTTTTAATGTTTTAGATAATTCTTACAATGCTTTGCAATTTTGTAATTACTTAGGATTTTTGAACAGAGTTTATTTATAAATATCCAAACCAGAACCAGTTGCATGTGTTTATAGAGATGAAATTCTTCTTTAGGAACTTCTGTTTTCTTCAGTAGTTGTAAAGAATTGCATCTCTAGGCAATCAAGATGACTATGATGGTATAAGACTAGATAGGGAAAAGGAAGGAACTAACTAGGAGTGAGCTGACTATAACTAGAACAACATCTAGTGATAGATGACCTTATTTGTAATGAACATCTCTGAGTAACTGTATCAGTAAGATGTTTATCTTTCCCTTAAAACTATGAATCTGTTTATGTTTAAAAATCTGTGTGGAACTGAATAATTTTATAGAATTAAATAATGTTATGGAACTGAATAATTAAAATGCAGGAAAAGGAAACTTAGGAATCCTGGAAAACAGGAAATATGTCTAGGGAGTGCCATTAAAGCATGCCCTGGAGGCACTGAGAAGTGTAGACAGAGATCATTCAATGAGTGTTTTATTCCTTAGAAGTAAACTTATACACAAATGTAGTTGTTGGCCAGTTGTGGCACACCTATGTTGTAGCTTATTGCATTGTATATGTATATTGCATACATATGTATGAGTATTTGTATACTATTGTATATTACTATTTTTGAAACTCTGTGTGTCTAGGAATGAGATCAACATGTGTTGATTTATAGACCTAAAGTTAGGCATGTTCAGAAGTTGATTGTGCATTATGCTTTAATGCCTATTTGGAATACTGGGATTGCACTTGGAAGATTGCTGTACAGAGTAAACAATGGTGCCTTAATACCCAAGAAGTCAACATCATGATGCTGGGATGGTATGGCAGGAGCAGCACAGTCTGCTTTTGGGTGACCTGGTGGCAGATGCTCTATATACCTGTATAAAACTGAGATCTGGGCCCAGATGAGCACTGACAAAATCTAGTTATCTTAGTTATAGATGCTAGGGCACTATTGTCACATGTTTCTGTCCATTTCCAGCATCTCTTATTCTATTTTCTGATAGTTTATACAATATGAAAAATTCCTTGGTTTAAAAATACATATAGGTCCCAAAAGGCATAGGAAATAAATCAACTGCTTTAAAATGATCTTTTTACTGTTTTTGTTTCATAAATATGAACTAGATATTCTTAATGAAATGTACTTAATATATTATGATTTGTGTTTTAGGAATAAATCCAGATCTACTACTGAACTGGATGATTACCCCACAAATAAAAATGGTAAATGTGATTTTTTAAAAACTTCTTCAGCACAATTGCTTATTTCTGTAATCATACACTGTGATTAGTATTTTAAGAGTAAGATATTTAGATTAATTAGCTAACATTAAAATACTGTTTTTAGTGTAATGAAATAACTATTTTATGTTTATTTTGGCTTTATTTATAATGGAGCGTATACAGGATGGTTAAAATGGTTTTTAAATAGTTAATGAGCTATGTGGGAATTTTGGAAAGTAATGTTGATACAGTTTTGCATAGTAGATTTCATCTTGCACCAAAGAAATGGGACAGAAGATACTTCTGTAATATACCTGGGGACTTAAAAACTGCATAGAGTAGTACATTTACATGCCAAAATGTCAACAACCCAATGTGATAATGATTTTACTAACCTCAGAAAAACAGTTAGGAAGCTGATACTGTTAGTTGTATGTTTCTGATGAATACATGTAGTGAAATTACATATCTAAGGAAAAATCTCTCAGCAGTCAGTGTAATGTAAGGGTTTGTACTGCAGGCTGCTGGTCACTTATGTAAGTGAATGAAGGTCCAGGCAGACATTGAGGTGGGCGCGCTCTCCCCAGTGCCAGCTTGTCACTGACCCATAGGTGAATGCAAACCTCTAATAGCCACTTGTTCCTATTGTAAGAGAAGTGAAAAAGTAAAAAAGCACAATCTGTTTTTCTGTGTGTTGTCTTTAAATCACTGACAAGGAATTATAAAATATTGCTAATCCTCTGTGAGCAAACAGAGCATGTCTATTGGCTGAAATGGTCTGGTGGCAACTCGCTGGTAACCTCATTGAAGCTTGCAGAATTTTCATGTACCATTAGGATTTATGTTTTTTTTCCATTACTTCTTTCCTTGGACAAGTAAAGTCTTCTATTTCTTTGTCCTACATTGACTTTCCAGCTTTTTTCCCCCCCTTTTTATCTCTCAGAAGTCTTAACTGTAATCAAATTGACTTCTTTCTAAATTCACAATTTATCAGTCATTCTTCCAGTCATTGGACATTTTCCCTGTTTGATTTTTCAATTCCTTATTGCCTGAGTTTACCCCTTGCCTCTATTAAAATTATGGCTTAAGTACTTCAGTCTTCTATTAAATATTTTTAACCTGCAGCGATTGCATTTGTATGACCTGTTAGAACAGGCAGTGTGATTCTCTGGAATGTTCTGGCTCATAGTCCTGGTTTGTGTCCAGTCTGATTACTGTGTGTGTGTGTGTGTGTGTGTGTGTGTGTGTGTGTGTGTGTGTGTTTGTTCTTCCTTGCATTAATGAATTACAAGTTTTTGAATAAAAGGTAGTGGAAATTATTAAATGCTTGAGGAAATAACTTGGTTATGCCAATAAAGTACTTTAAAAATAGCAAATGTTTCATGTAATATTGAACTACATTGATAAACTATGTTAAATACAGTCTGTGTAAGAAATCTTTGGTGACCCTGTTCATCACTTACTGGCAGATGGGGTTAGATAAATCATAAATTCTGAAAGAATAAGTTTCCTTAGATAAAATTTCCTAACCCACATTGAGACATAGATGATTCTTTAAAGTTGTAGTTGTTTTACCCAAATCAGAAATTAATCAACAAATTCAGGGGACAAAGTTCTTGGGATAAGTTCAACATCCAAATTACAGTTCTGCAAGTTTCTTAGAGCAGAAACAAGTATGATGATACTCATAGACTATCATTTGGATTACTTAGCTGTTTTTCCTGTTCAGTGAGTAAGTATGCCTATATATATATTCAGCTCCCACATTGCTACACCTTGAACATGATCTAGTCTGTGACTTGGACCGCAAACAGGCCATGTCTGTCTCCCCAGGGGGAGTGTAAATTTTTAAAAAGAACTTCTGCTGTGTTCTTGTAGTGTTTTCCCAGCAAGCATTCAGGAAGTGTGTGCCTGATTAGTTTAAGGAGGGAAGGAACATGGAAAGGAAATATATCAGGATAAGCATTTTGCAACTGAGTGTTGCTGAAACCCATACTGATTGTTTCCTTGTTGGGCTATGTTGTGATTCTCCTGAGGGCTCTGCGGTGTACCTCTGGCTGTGGAGCTAGCATTTCCAGCAGTAAGAGGAGACAGTATCTTCTCATGCAGATACCTCACGGGAAGTTGATAATGTTAGCACGTGTGCAATGTGTCACTGGTAGGCTGCCCTATTTTTGGAGGTTATTTACTATCATTTCTTTACTAATCCTGATGCTTTTGATGTGTTTTTGATTTAGAAAGCAACAGATACTTAGACCGAATAGAGAACACGACCTTTTCACATAGGATCTCCAAAAAAGATCAAGGTCCCTCAGGAGCAGAGCTAGAGAGACAGCAAATCCTTCAGGAGATGAGGAAGAGAACATCTCTTCACACTGACAGCAGCTGGATCCGGCAGCGCAGTTCCAGTGTGAATAAAGAGCCTATCTCTCTGCCTGGAATTATGAGAAGGTGAGAGGCAGTTTAGGAATTACTTTGTCTTCACTATGGGACCTATATTTAATTCATGAACATGCAAAGATAGCATCATGATTTATTCTTTTTTTGGGTATTTGATGCAAGTAAGACAAGTCAAAAACAAAATTAGCACTATTTGTGCCAAACATGAATCTTAATTTGTCTATATCATCTCATTTAATGTGGGGGAAATGGTTTAAGGTAGAAATGGTAACTGTATTTCTATATGAAGAGAAACTTTAGCTTTAGCAGGGAAGACAATTGGGCAGGATCACATAGTTAATAGTCTTGCTTTAAAACTCTGAAGTGGGATTCTGATTATTTAAAAAGGCTGTTGAATTAAAAAGGAAAACTGCTTATGTCTATAAGGAGATAATGGTTACATTGTTGTCTTTGTAAGGGGTTTCACAAAGTGTGAATTTACCTTTGAGAAGGTAAATTATAACAATGTAAATCTGAGATGAATAGGTGAACATTTAAAAAGATATATCTTGTAAGCAGATTATGTAGATACTTCTTTACTTAACCAAGAAAAGTTTTTTATAGCGCTCTATGAACAAAGAGTTAATTTTCTCAATATACGAATAATGTTTTTTAAAAAAAATCAACAAATGAACCGTAACAACTTCACAAAAAAAGACATGTGACACAAATGGGAAATTTATAGGAAAGAGAAACAAAAGTTAAATGTAGCTGGTTATGGTGATGCATACCTATAATCCTGGCCCTCAGGAAGGCAGAAATATCACTGAGAGTTTGAGGCCAACCTAGGCTACATAGGGAGTTCAAGAACAGAGTGGAATATGTAAGTAAGACTTTTTTTAAAAAATGAAAAAGAAAATAATTCTTAGTTTGAAAGCTGTACATACCTTGGTAAGGAGCTGGGATTTCCTGCCCTCCTTCTAGAGGTTCTGTTGAGAGCCAGCCAGAATTCTTGACTAGGAACCTCTTTTCCTGTGGGCCTCCCTATATATCTGTGCGGGCCACCTCAGGGCATGGCCCTGATTCAGAGGGAGTCTTGTAGAAGGAGAGCCCCTGGCCTGTGTTTATCATACTCGAGTGCATCACATTAGCTGATGTCACACTGGCCAAGTCAGTCACAGGTCAAACTCAGAGTAAGTGGGAGGGGAGTGCAGAGGGTAATGGACATAGACGCCTGGCTCATGTGGGCTCCAAGGTACAGACCATCATATGAAAAGGCATAAAGTTGGTCTGAGATAATTAAGTGGATATGAGGTATTGAAAACTGTGTCATACCACAGTCCTATTTGATAGGTGGTTCAGCACACAAGCATACTCTATAGGTATATAAACATGCCTGAACTTTGTAAATCTATATGTATATGCAGATATTTGCTTGCATAGGTGATAAAGGTCTAGAAGGATCCACAGCTAACAGTGGTTACTGTTAGGAATTGGGATGATAAGAAATTTATGGGTAGTTACGGTAAACAAGGGAGAAAGTACCCTTGCCTTCCCTCAAATATCCTTCAGTACTGCTTATTTTTTTTCCATAGGTTGATATATTACTTTTCTAATGTTAAAGTAAAAACAAACCATTTTAAAATTGGCATAAGAAAATATCTTAAGAGAAATAACAAAAAATTTGACCAAGTAGGAAAAACCCTCCTAGTTTGGGGTTAATTTTTGTAAGTCACTAATAGTATAAGTATACAACTTTAAGAAAAACTTTCTAAAAGGTGCATATAAGTCAGTGTGTAAGCTAGATCATATTTTCAGTGTGCACTGAATTTGAGGAAAATGGCTGGTGAATACTTGTTATGATGCAGGCACTCAGCAGTTGCTGGAAGTTAGAGCTTGGGAGGTGAATGAATGAGAGCCTCACGGGAGCCATGGCCTGGTTGCTTTAGGATCAGGATGATGGTGGCTTGAAAGCCACTGACTGGCTTTTATTGTAGATGACTTAGCGTCGATGAGATTAAAAAGACATCTTGTATAAGTGTTATGAAAATTAAGTTTAAAACCATAGTTACAGTGTCTAGCCGAAAGCCTAATCATGTTTAAGTGCTTCATATGTAGTTTTTGGTTGAATTTTGAAAGATCTTCAGATTTATATATCCGTTAAAGATGTAAAAGGTAAGTGCCTATCTCTTTAATCTTAGCCTTTATTTAAAAGTATTTTCCTTCTAAATTTCCTTTACCCTTTTGTTGGTACTTATTCTTTTGCCTAAGCACCAGATAAATAAAAGTGAAGACCTATCAAAGTGAAAATGCCTCTGACGATGACACACAGTTTACTAAAAGTAGTTTTATATGTAACTGGACTTCTTAGATACCTGCTGTGAAATGCACAAGACAGCTCTTTTCACAGATGTCATGAGGTGCTGGGTAGATTTCAAACTGAGCTTCTGATGCGCTCTTGATGAGTGCTTTTGTGTTTCAGAGGAGAGTCTCTAGATAACCTGGACTCCCCGCGCTCCTGTTCTTGGAGACAATCCCCTTGGCTCAATCAGTCTTCGGGAGTCTACGCTTCTTCCTCCGTTCAAGACTTTAGTCGCTCATCTCCTCAGTTCCTGTCCACATCAAACCGGGCCTACATGCGGAACCCGTCCTCCAGTGTGGCTCCTCCTTCTGGGTCAGTGAAGACGGCTGCCCCTTCTGGCACGGCCACTACCCGCTCTGCCACCCTGCCCAGCCATTCCATTTCTACTTCACAGTCCAGCTCTCAGCTCCGCAGCAGGTGAGGCCTTGTGTTTCCCGTTTTCCTCTCTTGGTTTCAGGGGCCTTTCTCATTTAAAATATCCCCAGGCTTGTGCCAGCATTCTTATAAAGAAATATGAGCCCTTCTCAGTGTATCAGAGTGAGTTCTTTCATCAACTCAATTGAGAAATCTTTCTTAGTATCTTCATAGGTACTATAGATTTGTCTCGCAAACCCATCTGAGACCTTTAAAATGTTTGCTTATTGCCAGGATCCAGTTTGTCTGTGTTCTGGGTGGAAGAGGAATATGAAGACTTTTATGTGGAATCACAAAAATACAAAGCAGCTCATGAGTACTTTTCACATTTCTGAGCAGAAGTGATATTACAAAATGTTTGATTATTTTCCATGACACTGTCACACACACAAACACATTTTGTAGGAGCTGAAAGAAAAAGAACACTGTAATCAAGCTCCATAGTCTGGGGAGCTTTTAACAAGATGCATTTAAAAGAAAATTATTAAATTACTAAATAGATTAGGTGTTGCTTTGGGGGTTTTGGTTGCCAGAACTCTTGCTTACTACCTGTTTCCTAGTTCGCCACACCATGTCCAGGCTGCATGAGCCTAATTGTGTAGGTTCCGTGGAATGGGAAGTGTGTAAGAGACAGCCCCTTGATGAGCTCTTGCTTTGTGCTAGGAAGTAGAGCACAGATGTCAGTGTGGATTGTGTTAGATCTGAAGTTTCTCCACGGATCTTTTGAACTTTGCCTATGTATACATATTAGTGCTTCTGTTCTACTGACATGTATACTACTTTTCATCACAAATGAAATATTTATAAGTTGAAATACACTGGGGTTAGATTTTTTTTTTTGCTATCAAATAAGAGAATGTAGAAGAAAACATTTTATAGCCAAAAGAATATTACACTTATCAGTCTCTATAAAACTGTTGAGACATCAGACACTTGGTAGCCATGCCTTGCTGTCCAAATGCTGCAGGAATGTGAGGGTAGTGAAAAAGCACCTTAGCACCAGGAGAGGTGAGACCTACATCCAAAAGCGAAGTAGATGTTCCCTCCCCTATTTTTGGCGTCTGATAGGTCCCATTTCATTCTCAGCAGAATCAATTGTAGAAACCAAGAAGCACAGTTCAGGAAGGACTGACACCGCTGTTTCACTAGAAAATTGGGCAAATAAAAAGGTACAAAGTAAAGTGAGAAGCATGTAATGGTCGACTCACAACAGGTCTAAAAGGAAGTTAGGACAGTTCTTAGCAAGGGAGATAGCATAATATGACAGGAGTTGAGTGCTCTGGTGTGTTTATCTGGCTAGAGGCTGCAGTGGATCAGAGGTGAGGAGATGGACTGCTGAGTAGGTGGACCTAAGGAAGATGGTATCATCAAGTTCCAAATGGACTAATTTACACTCAGGCTGTTTATTAAGGTAGATAGGCATCAAGGGTCCCAAAGCTGCTGTGCATATTGACCAAGCTTACAGTAAAGTCAGGGCATGCTTTAGGTGAGTGTGAACAGTTTTATCCTCTAGTTCTCAGGGCCTGTTTTGAATTACCATTATTGATGTTAATCCAGAGTGACTTTACACGCAAGCCTTGCACTGCACAGGTGAAAGCCTCCATTCCGTTCTTGTTCTGCATCTAGGTCAGTCAGTGGGAAGCGCGTGTGCTCCTACTGTAATAACATTCTGGGCAAAGGAGCTGCCATGATCATCGAGTCCCTGGGTCTTTGTTATCATTTACAATGTTTTAAGGTGAGACTGCAACAAAAAACCCGCAGGCCTGCAAAGCTTTGCTTGGAGCGCGCATGGCTTCTTGGAGCCGCTGGGTGTGGTCGTGCCATTAACAAGCTAGGTGCTGTGTTTGTCAGTCTGTGCTGCATTGGATTCACACACTTGCTACTACTCAGTTCTAGAAACTTGAACCTTGTTATAAAAAGTAAATCTGAGAACACTATGCATTTCCTGTTTCTAATCTGGTAGCATTCTATAACATTTACAGTGCATAAATTGTTTTCTCTAATGTGTTGCCACAGGCATACTTAAAATGCAATTTGCCAGTGTTACTGATGGCATAGGGATATGTAATTACCACAGTGTCTAAAAGCCTAGCTTTGACTAGAGTGACTATGTAAGGAAAAACCACTGTAAATATTTTCACAATTGAACAGCCTAGTTAGGCCCAATAGGATTTTGTATATAGCAGAGAACTAAGGCTGTTCTAACTGCTTGGTTTCCAGTACTTATTTCTCGAGAGATGTCCGTTGGTTCTTGAACATGCATTGGGCCAGAAGCAAGGTCCCATTTGTTGATTGTGGAATCTACAGACCACAGCTTGTTTAAGCATGCACTGTGCTGGCTTGGGCTGTTCCTAGGGAAAGCAGAATGAGTCAAAATAATTAGTGTTTGAGCAGATGGGACTAAAATTCCCAGCACTGAAGAGAGGCTCCCCATGGGAACACTTCACCAAGCTGGTACCACAGGAACACTGGGCATGGCCCACTGCAGAATTGAGCACCAGAAACATGAACTCCATTCACCTTAACCAGTCCTTTCATGTGGTGACCTCTGCTTCCATGAGGGTGCATGAAGACTAAAATTTTTTAAGCCAATCAGCAAATTACTTCTGCTTTGGAGGGTATATTTAGATTGATCATCTTGGCTCTTAAAATTGGCATTATGAATGCTTTAATGTCTTCTCTGGCAGGCTTGATTTTAATCTACTAATCAACTCTTGGCTTTTTGTTGTTGTTGTTCTTGTTGCTGAAATGTATCTGAGAACTCAGAGGCTACATTCTGAACTTTCTTGAGCTTACTGATTGTGGGTGTTCTTTTTTGTCCCCTAGTGTGTGTCCTGTGAGTGTGACCTCGGAGGCTCTTCCGCAGGAGCCGAAGTCAGAATCAGAAACCACCAACTGTACTGCAACAACTGCTATCTCAGATTCAAATGTAAGAGAGCAAATCAGAGAGAAAATTTCTTGTCTTTTAAAGAGACCGCGAGCTCCCCTGCATTTCCCTGAGCCAGCAGCCACCTCCCCACCAGGTTCACTGCCATAGCATTTCTGGGCTTCAGGATCTTAGTCTGCCCCTTCAAAGAGAGTGTGTAGCGGATGGTTCTGTGTCAGAGTTTGCCACACAAGAGTGGGGTGCGGGGTCGAGGAACTGAAAAGGAGCCCAAATCTGAAAGTTGGAACAGTGTCTCCTGTAGTCTGTGTGGGGTCTGGAAAAAGCTCTGCTCTCTCAAGATAACATAATTGAACCAAAACAGTTAAACAAATCATCTTCACAGATTGTAATCTGCTTCTTGATTAAGGATTGGTCTGTCATCATCAGCTTATTTCTTTTACTTAACAGACTTTGATTATGTGATTTAGAATATACAAACTTTGAAAATGATCATTTAAAGTAATAAATAATTCACTATGTTAAGTGTTGATGTGTGATCATATATCGATACACAGTATTTTCACAAAGGAAGCCTTAATTCTGATTATATAACATTCCAATATCATCTTTTGGCAAAACTTGAGTTTTAAAAATTTCAAATGCTACTTTGTATTCAGCATGTGTTTATGTGTTATAAAATGTAGGACAGCATAATTAGTTTGTATATTGTTTATAGCTACAGCAAGAGAACCATTACTGTTGCGTGTATTTTGAACCTTGATGCTGGTAACATGTTTCTTCCTTATTGCAAAAGGGTGGTACAAGTGGTATCAGCAAAACCATTTGCTTTTGAACTCTGAGGTATTTGTATGGTCCTTTATATGAAGAGTGGTTTGGAAATGGCTTAAATCCTGCCAGCTCTCTCTTATCTGCTGGCAGCTCTGAGCTTCCTTTCCAGCTGTTCAGGTCTTCACTAGACGCTGGCGCTGAGGCTGGAGAATATCAAGGCTGGGCATGGACAGAGAGTGTGTGTATGTGTGTGCACTTTTCTCTTTGTTCCAAAGCCAAATATAATTGATTTTTGGAATCATTATTGTAAAATTGCCCATGCCTTGTCTCTCCTTCAATGCAAATAAGAGAGAGTTAGGTATAATTTCTTTCTGTATTAGCAGTTAGTTTTACCCCATTTAAAAGTAATTCTAGAGCCCAGAGGCGGCTGTTTGCTTAGCTTTTTCCTTAGACTGAGTGACAGGTAACTCTTTCTACCTCACTGTGCTGCTCTCTGAGTGATGACTGCTATGTATCCCAAGTGGCAATATTCATGTGTTTGTGAATCTAAACATTTTTCTCTCTTCTCTCCTTGCCTGATCAGCTGGACGGCCAACCGCCATGTGATGTAAGGCTCCATGAGAAAGCACTGTTGCAGATAAAAGAAGAGGTGGTTGCTGCTGATATAGATCTATAAATATATGTTGTATGTCTTTTTTGCTCTGTTTTTTTTTAGAGAATAACTTTTGAGGGGCTTCATTAGACTATCTGGGAACATTGTAGTCTTGGTAGAGTCTGTGTTTTGTTGTTTATTTATAAGAAAGAAATTATGTGTGGGGAAAAGTGCAGTATTCATTTACTGAATTTAGCATCTGAAAAGCACAAGAGAAAAAGAATTTAAAAATATTTTTGAGGTGGATAATGATCTAATTTGACTATTTAGTGGTGTTTTGAGAAGGGCATTTTATTTTACTTTTTTAAAGTTCTTAAACATTATTTGGAATAGTTAATATAAGCATCTATCTGTTTATTGTAATGTATACTAAGTTAACACAGAAGCATATGAAAGTTTTCATTTAAATCCACCTCTAAATTTGCTTTCTGAATCCTTTCCATCTATGTAATATGTTGAAAAAAATTAGCTTATGTAACATTTATTTGCTTGATGATGGGAGCTTTGTTTTCTTCATCAGAACTGTTGCTAAGTAATTCTCAGTAGAAATTGCTTGTTTTCATTAATGGAAAATAACCATGGTTTATATATCAGAAGTTTTCTCCAGAAACTGATGAGCTTTTCTGTTCAGCTACATTTGTAAATAAACTTGCTGCTGCATTTAAAGAGTGGTTCTTTTTTACTCATATATGTCTTTTGTTTTGGCCTTTTAATCATATTAAAATACATGAGCATTCTAGATTTAGCAGGTCTACCAAAATAGCACTGGTATATAATAAACCACACATCTTCAAAGTGTACAGTTTGACAAATTTTGGCATGCGTGCACCTGTGAAACAATTACTACTGTCTTGATGGAAGGTGTTAATAAGGAACTTTGTTATTATTTTAATGAAGTTATATCTTTGAATACAAAACATTTGTATGGTAAGAAGTTTGATAATAAATGGTTGAATCATTTCAATGAAATCTTTACATTCATTTTTGTTACCCCAGAGAGTTTAGAAAATCTACAGAGAAGGAAATCATGGTGTTTTAAAATCTAGAATGGAAATGCAGGACTAAAAATTTTAGCATGCTTTAAACCAATATATAACCTTGCTTGAATCCTTTAAAATAATGTAAATGAAATACATAATCATAGGAAAGTAGAACTGTATCAAAACAGGTTTAAAGTATGTAGTTATGAAGTATTAATATGAGAGAAAATTAAATTTTTAGTTCCAGTTTCAATTTTTGTTGAGCACTTATTCTTTATATTATTGGTCATACTTATTTATTGAGTAAAATTTACCAAACGTCCCATATCATAGATCCCTTGTGTTTGAACTCATTCTGCATGTAGACTTTTATCTTGCTTCCTTACACTCCTAACACTGAGTTAACACATTTTTCCATGTTCTGAAAATCTTCCTTTCCCTTTATGCTGGTGGTTGAACTCAGGGTTTTGAGCAAGCACCCTACTCTTGAAGTATACCCCCAGCCCTCTATGTATTTTTTAAATAATTAAATAGTGTTTCATTTTTTTGGCTCTCCTGACAGTTAATAATATCACCACTGTGTACATTTCAGTTTTTAAAATTTAACAATTTGGGATACATAATTATAAATATATTTCTAATATAAATTGTGTGGGCTCAGTATTGTTACATCTCCATTTCTTTTATTTTTGTAGATGTGAGGTTATTAGCTTGATGTTTTGCATTTTAAGGCTTTCCTGATTTATATTGCCAAAGTGGTTTCCAGAAGCATGCTATCTATCAGCTTCGACTCCCACAAGCAACACTTGGGCTTGTTCATCTCACTACATTTTCACAGAAATGAACTTTTTTCTGCTTCCTTGTTTTTCACCTGACATGTAGTAGCCCTCAATATGCAGCAATTGAATAAGTCAGTTATATTTTCTTCCTTGTTAATTCTGCATGGTTCTGCCCCTAATTCATACTTTAATTTTGCTTTAGTGTTCTTGTTTAACATTTTTTTTTGCCATTACTCCTTTTCAAGTAAGCCATTTGTGTTTTCTTATCCTATTCATTCTTCTCCGCTATAATGACTTTTTCCCCTCACACTGTTGTGCTTTCGTGATGAAAACTTCATTGTAAATTGTTAAGTGCTATTTTCTTCTAGGATGTCAGTTCTATAGTACCTTTGTATTTGTTACGTGATCTAAGAACAGAGAAATCTGCTCATTCTTTTAAATCTGTCATTCAAACTTTATGTATCAGGCACTGCTTCAGGTACTATGAATACAACAATGAATAAGTTCAATGTTTTGGCTCAGATCAAGTTCCTGTTTCTACTGAAAGGAAGTGGTAAAGCAGTACATGAAGACACAACATGCAAGTGGTGATATGTACAGTGGACAGTAAACAGTCATCATCAGAAGAATCCAAGAGTGCTGAGGATACAAGTTTGACAGTGGTCAGGGGACAACTTCTTCAGCAGTTGAGTCAAAGTCTAAAGAAATAGGGAGAAAACCACATGGATATTTGAAGAAGAGCATTCCCCAGCAAGTGGCACAGTCTTGAGGCGATTGGTGTTTTTATGAAGCAAGCATGTGTGATGGGGAGTGAAGGCGTAAGGATTATGGATGTGAGGAGGAAGGACACGGTTCTGCAGGCCACTGTAAATACTGTCTTTGTGAAAGGGATAGGAAAATATCAGAGGGCTTCAAGCAGAGCAGCAAAATGGGCTGGCTTATATATTAAAAGCTCTGCAGACTTCTGTGTGCACAATGACTTGCAAAAGGGCCAAGGTAAAAGGGAAACCAGCTCAGAGCCTGTTGAAACTGTCCAGGCAAAAGTTGGGGTTCACATCAACAAGGTATGAGCAGAGGAGACAGGGAGTGGTGGGAAGATTATATGGTAGGTATAGTGTGTGTATTTTAAAGGTAAGGCAGACAGAATTTTATGTAGCATAAGAGAAAAGAAAGAGCAAAAGTTGACTGAAATGTTGGCTTGGAAACCCAGAACTAGAATTGCTGTTTTCTGAACTAGAGCTGGTTGTGGGTGGAATGCCAGAAGTATTGAGGCAAGAAAAGTGGAAATTTGGTTCTTAAACATTATGTGGTCTGTTAGATAGCTGCTCTTTAAAAGAACCAAACAAACAAAAAATCTAAAAATATAGTAAGCCTCTGCCTTACAAACATTTGAGTTGCTAGTTTTCACAGATGTGAACAGACCTTGCATTATGAACATCTGTAGCTATAAACAGATTGCTGATGTAGCTCATTTGTCTGCTGGACATTGTCATAGTTGTGCTGTTGAGTGCTAACTGTATAATGTGATAGTGTGCAATAATGCTGTGGTCAGTCAGAGCCCAGGATGTCTATAAGCAAGAGGAAGAGCATTGGTGATGTGGAGGGACTGCCATGGAGCACAAAGCAGTACACGTTGTATATTTATATCAAAGGCATGTAAGATCCGCTTTGTTGGTCCTAACAAATCTGACTTACTAGCATTTTCCTGAACTCAAGGCATGAATGTGCTGTACATCCCTCCTTTACATTTTTTATATAGAGGGTTGCTAAATTGCCCAGGCTGGCCTTAAATTTGTGATTCTGTTTTAGTCTTCCGTGTGGCTCATATTTCAGGGCATGTACCACCATGCCCAGCTCTGTTAGCTATCTAAAATGGCAAAAGTGGAGTGCATGAAGGCTGAAGGTGATTATGTAGTGTCATGGGTGAATAAATGGAATCTAAGCTGAGATTCAAGAGGCATTACCAAGATTCCAAATGTAACTAGAGTGGAGAGGTGGCCCAAGGACCGAGTCCTGAGTCCTTCAGTATATTATATTAGAGATGTAAAACAGTGTCTACGAAGCAGGAAAACAACCAAGATTCTGGTATTCTGGAAGCCAAATCAAGATATTTTTGAGGAAAGAGGAACCGGTTATGATAGATGCTTCCCAGAAATTCAGTAAAAAGACTAAGCATTGACTTTGGGAAAACAGCTGTGACGTGTCTTTTCCCAGATATGCAAGGTATGGTGTTGGCTGATTGGCGTTCAAGGAGCTTCACTTGTAGATTTTACATGTGGATGGTCCTCATCCAGTTTTCATAACCTTTAAAAAGATGACTTTTCTCTTTCTTTCTCTTTGTCTCTTTATCTATTTTCCCAGAAATATGATCTGACAATATGAAAAACCATCCCTAGGAATGTATATATCAGTCCCTATAATAATCAGCAATAGGAACTGTACTTGCCAGTATTGGTGAGTTGTCCTTCCCCACCAGTGTAGTTCCTGGGGAATGGGTGACCCCGAATACTGTGAAAAGAAATGGTTGAGTACACGGGGGCTGCTCCAGAGGGAGAACTAGTCTGCTAGGAGGCATGTCTGCTTTGCTGTGTTCTGATATTCTCACCCTGTAGCTTCTAGTTGAGGTACAGTGTGATGATTTGGATCAAAATTGTGCCCCCAAAGGCTCACGCATTGGAAGCTTGATCTCCAATGCAGTGGTGTTAGAAGTGGGGTTTTTGGAACATGATTGAGCATGAGGGCTCTAACTTTCTCAATGGAAAATGTTGCATACTTTGATCGCATTTTTGGAAGGGGATAGATACTGTAGGTGGTGGGGCTTAGTTGGAGGAAGTAGGTCACTGGAGATACCTTCTAGTTCACTGCCAACCCAAAGTAATGAAGTCTGTGGACCATGGGTCAAAACTATGAGCCGAAATAAACTTTTTTTTTTTACTTTAAATTGTTTTTCAGATACTTCGTTACAGTGATGAAAAGCTGACTCATGAAGGCTATGTCATACTGCTATATTTCAAGCTAAATATAGGCTTTGCCCCTTAAATTTACAGTTCAGGATGAGTCAGAAATTCCTGTACAGATGGCTTACTAAGGCACAAGCATGTACATGATTGAGCATGTAAAATCCATACAGAAGGCAAGAAAACAACATCTAGATTTTTTTTATAAAACATGGATTCTAAAATTAGTTATGATTCCTAAAAGGAATTACATGAAAGAGGCACCTATTAAAGAATCCTCATCCATGATAAAGGGAACTTGGACTACAAGTGCAATGCGTGAGAATCCAGGAGCCACATGCTAAGGGAATAGAAGTGATTTTACAGTAGAGTTTGTGTTTGAATACATCTTTAAGGGCAGATACAATCTTAACAGATCAAGCATATAGAAAGAACAAAATACCACTCCTGAGCTGAATTCCACATGCCAGTGGTTTTTCCTTACTTTGTATTTCCACCAAAACTTTACATAGTATATCCTGTTTGGTAGAGGAAGAAGCAGGTCACTAGCTACACTCTGTTTAATAATGTGTTCAGTCCTGATAATAGAATCCAGTTTTTCCTTGTGATAAAGAATGGTATTTTTAAAAGGTGTATACAGTGTTCTTTGGTTAAAGATTTGCTTTATCTTAGATTGTTGCAGTACCTTTTTCTGGTGAATTCTGTAGCAGAAATAGTGATAATTGATAATCTCAAAATTTAATTAAAATGTGTTCAGAAAGTAGTAATTATGTGACCCAGTACTTACTAAAAGAGGAATGTTTTCATGTTCTATTGCACAGTAGAATACTATAGTTCACAATTTACTACAGACATTCCTTGTTCAAGGGCAAAGTTGTGATCCTGTAACTAGGCATTCAAATAAATTTGTCACTAAATGAGGAATTGTATGAAGTATTTATAGTACATAT